ATTATTCGGGCTTATTCTAACAGTTTTGTCGGCCCTCTTGGGGTTTCAGGATATCTTTATGGTTAAAATTGTGATATTTTCGTCATATTACATTTGATAAGCATTTTGTAGGAATGTTGCCGTTCAGTTGCATATGCCAATAGTTATGAAATGTAGTTGCTAGACTTCCAAAACAGGCAGATGTAGACATTTTCTCATTTATTGATAGCCTATTATCCAACCCACTTGAAATAATTACCAAAACGGTTTAGCAACGTTAAGAAATAGATGGCAAATCTCGAATCATTTTGATTGTGTCTCTGATCTAATAGGATCTTTGGCAATAACACGCTATCATTATTTCTTGCTCATAGTATTAAATTATAACCTAATATTTAAAAAATACCGAGTTTCCCAAGACGTATATAACGAAATACAAGTGTTGGTATATGTAGGGGGTCTTCCCATATCGTCGACTCTTCAGAATTTGGAAAGTCGACCGCGGCACTCTTTAATGGGTTAAAAACTGATTAAAAGCGTTCATGAGGCTTGGGACCAGTCATTATTAATATAGTTCACTTAAATTGATTGTTATCAGAATTCAACTCACTCACTAATTAATAAAATGAATATATTTCACTTTAAGTACATGAACTTGAATTTTGTCAGAATTCAATCCACATTCGAAACATAGATATGAACAAGGAAGAATGAATTTGTTAGAAGTTTTGGACTTATTAAAATTATGTGTTACTAGCAGAATGCCCGGCTTCCCTCGGGGGTCATAACTCCGAAACCGGAAGTGGTAGACTACCGCCACCTGGCCTATCTTACTCCCCGGTCCGAGCTACCCCTATACCCCAAATTTCAGACTCGGGGCAGACCTAGTGTAGCCGCCAACCCCGAACAGACAGACAGACAGACAGACAAACAAACAGACAGACCAACGACAGTCACAAATATTAGTATAGATAGATAGATGTTATGTGTTAAAGGTTGTTATAAATTTTTAAAAAATAAATGCTCCCAATATTATCTGCTTAATTAGTTTTATCCTTCAGCAGGGGTCTATTGTTTTTGGCCACTCAACCCCTTAACACCGACCAAAATTTTTCACCTAAAACTCGGCGAGTCGGCGATATGGGAATGAACCATATGTAGGTAGGCTTAACAATATACATTAGAGACAATAACTAATTATAAGATACTTTATCAGAGGGGTCACATTGAGGTTACGAGGCTTTTATAATACGTTATAAATAGTAATCATTTATGATTCATTAAACGTTGTCGGACATGCGTAAAAACAGTTTACCAAAAAAGCCAACCAAACCCCAACCCAATGCCTTTTTAAGTTACAGGAGTATATTGAAATATATATAGATAGCAGGGTGAATGTTCAAGGCACAAAAATAAGGCTGGACGGATTAATATATTTACAATTCTAAATTTTCAAGATATTCATTTCGGGTGACACGTTGGCTAATTAGAGAACCATTAACAGTTGGAATTCGGTTGCACACTGTATTAGCTTATTAGGTGTCTGAAATTACCTTTTATGTGAGGAGTTCCACATTTAGCGTGACAGGAACGGTTCCGAGTTTTTCCGGACACGTAGTTTATTGATGGAACAGAAAGTCCTAAAATGCCGAAATTTAACAGAGTTCATTCTCATTCAAAACGATATCGCTTTCCGGAAAACGGGGCATGACTTTTAAACAGGTCGTGGTCTCGTGGAATGCTTGAAATCGATAGGTAACTCCAGATGTGAAGTTCACGGACTGCTAAAATGGACACTGTTAAAAAATGGAGGATCACATAAAACTTAATACCGATAAGACCTGTCCTCTCATGAACACAATCATTTGAAAAAAAAACTTTAAAAACTTTAGCCTCTATCACGGTCCACGACATATACGCCCACACTATCTCAATCTCGAAAATTACGCCAGTCCCTTTAACGTGTCGCCATTTTAACTTCTATCCTATGAAAAGTAAAGAGATAAGAGCTAAGCTGTGTGGCGATTGCATCCTGAACAAAGGGATGTATACAACCAGAAAACCATTCAAAATATTACAACGCCCTCTTGCGCAAATACTATCATTTTAGGTGAGAAATGTAATGTATCAGTTTGACACGTGATGTTAATCATTGTATTCATATAGTTATTTTAGGTAGGATAATTGTTTGGAAGTGTGGGTGTATTATAGAATACAGTTATTCTACAAAAATTGTTCATAATAACTAAATTGTTTTGAATATCAGCAACACGAATAACATTTATTCTGTTTGAACAGATATAGTATGATAATACACGCGATGGTATTAGTGGCATTTCTGGGCAGATTTGTGGGATTCCGGGGGAGGATTTCCTTATTAAAATGTTTCACTGCTATTTAGTAATTGAACTAACTTAAAATCCCTAGGCTTGAAAGGGACTTGAGAAATCTACGATTAGTAATTAATAAGCAGGAATTGTATTCCATAGAATTGTAACCAGTGAATGTTCTTATTGTTAAGATTTTGATTAAACCCTGATAATTAACCTTCTTACTTTTAGGCTTATGTACCAGTAAGTTACAATTGTACCTTATGATTGATAATGCTGAAATTACCCACAACAACACCCGACCTTGTAACTTTAATTTCTGATTATGTTTTCAAATGGGGATCACGTGGCTAAGTGGGTAAGACGCTGGCTCGCTAGCTTGGAGGTCGGGTGTTCGGCCCCTGCATTGGCCGAGAAAGTTCATTCAGATTTTTTCGGCGTGTTTTCCCCTTGTCAGTGACGCAGGATGGAGGGCCTGACAAGGACAGCTGTCTAGTCATTCGGATGGGACGAAAAACCGAGGTCCCGTGTACACCTTGGCGTGCACGTAAAAGATCCCTTGGCAGATGGAATTCGATATAAGAGTAGGCCGTCGCGCCGCTGCCCGGGCAAAATTTCCCTCATAGCACACAGTATGCCCAGGTTAGGAGCAGAACAGTAAGACGTTAAACCCCATTTCATTTCATATTTCTGTTTTTCGATTCCTATTTAAGATGGGAGAAAGATTGTTTTCTATGTCAGTAATTTGGATTGGAATATTTCAAGTCCACTGTTTTAGATTTTGAAGTTGTTAAGCGATATCTTTATTAGAAATTTCAAATATAAATGATCATGGTATGGGGTTTAACGTACTACTTTTCTGCATCCACTGGGATAATGAAGACGGGTATAAATTATCAAGGAAATTGATATCGATGTCATAGTTCTCAAAGGTGTTAAGTTTCCAAAAAATGTTGGATTAGTTTTCGAGATATGAGAGAAAACCTATACTTCAATTTTAATAACGCAATTAGGATATAAACATTTTTAAAAGCAATTTGCATAGGGACGCCCCCCCCCCATGTGATTATTGATTCTTTGCAAAAATATCTTTTTGGATCATAAGTGGCACTAACAACCTTTCAGAACTATGGCATGGATATATGGTTATTGTTAAATGGTAGCAAAGCTCATAGTGACGAACCTGAAAAATCAACCTCGATGCCCTGAGAACGATAAAAGACCTTTTTACCTGGCGTCATTTCTTTAAAAAAAAAATCCGAAGACATCCGCATAGAATAACCATATTTTAGACACTGATTAGCAAAATGGCTCCCCAACTTTGTTCCTATTAAATATATACTGACCCGTCCCATGGTCCATACATAGCAGTATAAGACAGGGTATGCTTATGCTGTCCGGAACATCTAATACTCTTTTACTATTTGAACGTTGTCCACTTCGACCCTTCCATTGTTAAACTTCACATTTTATTACACAAATTTGTTATTTTCTATTTATAGTATTTTATCGCTATCCCCTTCTAGAAATTCAAAAACAAGTTCGTTCAGGTATTGGTCTGTCTGATTCTGATAGATATTCGGGAATATCCTCCAGAATAAATTCAGATAACCCTTGTATAAAGAATACAATAAACAAAATCAGCTTTGTTTCTCGAATGTTTAAGAGAGTGATTTCCCTTACGTCACTATCTGTTATGATGTTGTCCATTTTCCATGCCGGATGGGGAGATCGGGTCGTTTGAGCAGGTCATTCCCATACGGAAAATTCACTTATTAAGAATACTTTGCTGGGGTTACGGACATACACCATGCATTATGCTATTTGGGAAATTTTACACTGTCACATTAATACGGGGGTTGGGTGGCCGAACGGTTTGACGCATGCGCTTTAGATCATAAGCCGTATTCATTAGGACAGTCGGAGAACAGTAGGACGTTAAACCCTATTTCATTTACACCACATAAGGTGTGTCATTGAGTTGAGCGGTGTGATTTAGACCTCGAGCTTGTACTTGACATGCAAAAGGGTAGATTGTCCAACCTCGTGGGTTTTCCATGGGTCTCCCGGCGGCTAAAGACCCCATACACGGAAGCAAATTATTGAAACTGAATAATAGAAATTGAACTATATGTTATTCCAGAACTGACTTAGTTTGTGTCGACTGGACACCGTGTCACTTTTGCAAGACAGTACAGCACTATATATGGCGTTTCCACCACGCTTTTACATGGCGATCTTGATGCGCTATGAGACCATTTTCCCTCGCCGTAGCAGCGCAGTAAGGACGCCATCCCGCCCTGAGTCTGACGGGGGTATTATATCTTAGGTTATGTTTGCTTTGTCTCGCACTAAGTCTACATTATAAATGCGTTACATTGATATCTACAAAAGGGTAAGTTTTGCTATTCAGCAAAGTATGGCCAGGATTCAGAGAAATTAAATTAAAAACAGGTCTATGGTTTGAAAAATATACATTAAGCATAAATAAATAATGTTAAGCACTTCAGGTTTTCAGTTATTTGGGTGTCACCTTAACATTTCTTCAGCAATAGTCACTCGATCTTTGTACATTTGCCCGACATTACACGGAAATTGATTCACACAAACCCATGATCGCTTACATCGTGTACTAAATAAAGACATAAATATGAAACCCGCATTTATTTATATCAAAATCGTCCGCGCATTGTTGCATTAAAACTGTTAAAGCCATAACCCAGGACAGGAGGGAATTAAATGTAGCCATAGTAAGCTTAGAAGGAATTTTTTCTGACTTTTAAGCAATTGTGCTTGATTTATACCACTCATGCCCAAGTGGTAGCGAATCGTCGGTACTTTGCAGGTAAGGTTACTTCAATGAAATGAAATGGGGCTTAACGTCCTACTGGGCTCTATATTTGTTGGGGTATGCTGTAAATGTTAACAGTAAGCAATGCCAAAATTCTTCACGACACTTTAAATTTGTTTTTATCAAGAATTTAATTATATCTGTACTTATTTCCATGTGTTTAAAATACTTCTGACCTTATAGATAGGAGGGTTGGGTGTTAATATATTAGCGCATACGAGACCCTGTGTGAACCCGAATGCACTTGCTCATTACACCAGCGTTGTTACTTTTCAAGTAGGCTACTATCTTGGTAATATTTACGCATATGTCAATTCATTATTTTGCTAATAAAAGAAATACCCTTTGAAAACTACTTTCTAACCGGCAATCACCAGTTTTAGCCGGATGATCTGGCAGTAGCCAGAAATTTTGGTTATAAAAACCCCATTCACGTCAAAAGGGCATACAGAAATTTGAAACACCGGAAAGATATCGTGTGACTCGGAAAGTAAACACAATCCGTGATCCCATCAATACGTAACTTGAACTGTATTCATCATTTTTTTCTTAATAAAAACGCGATGACACGTCTTGGGACATTGACCTATATGTATACCGACTCTTGTTATGGTTTGATACGTATAGTCTCTGAGGTATTACATTTTAACTATGAGATGCCCTAACTTCAAGACGTGGCTTTTCTTGAATAAGGCCCTATGTAAGAGCTAAATCTGCCTATTGCAGGCCTTTCTTTAGACTTTAAATGTTATATAAATTATTAATTAGACATTCAGTAACTTGCCAAGGCCATAATCAGGTCTCGATGCCATCGGATGCTCTAGATTCTCAAAGGATTTAAACACAATTGACGGTTATAGATTAAATTTAAAATTGGGTAATCGAGACTTTGTTTACTATCGTAACAACGTTAGCAATGGCACTCGAACCTCCGGTATTCTCCAAACAGCCCTATCGTCGCCAAGAATGAAGTAATTTGACTTATTTTCTGTAAATAATAATATTCCCTTCTCATTATCTAGTTTTGAACAATTATAGCGAGAACTGCTAGCTCATTATCTAAAACTTTTACATAAAGCATGTTTAAATAAGGTTGTAAATTCTTTCCCCGTTCGTAGGTTTAGAAATACATCTCACCAATTTGAGATAAAGTATAAACTTTAAATGTGATATTTGTTAGCGATTAAATTCGAACATTTCAAACTCCACTTCTTCCATACCGCACACAGATTTGCCCAGTCTGTCTCGTATCGCCATAACAGGCTCACTGTCAATCACTGATCGGCAGTGAATATTCGCTAGGCCGCTACAATCAAAATGCAAACGGAGATATAGGCAGTCATTTGCTTTTGAAATCTGCCATTAAAAAAAGACATAATTCTTCCAATTTAAGAACTACATCCAGTTCATAGTACTTTCTAATTGTTACTGGCACTCCGAATTTAAATGGAAAGACACACATAACCGCATTTGAAAGAACTGCGACCCGTACAAATGTGTCAAACCAGGAGAATGTGGGCATACAGAAAAATCAAACATCGGCCAATTTTATAGATTTTACTAAAATATAGATTATGCAAGAGGTAAATCTGTCTATTGCCTGAAATGTTATATAAACTATTAATTAGACATTAATTAACATGAAAAGGCCATAATCAACTCTCAATGCCATCGTATCTGTCCGATTTTCATTGGATTTGAATCCGATCTGGATAATACCTGTATATTGAGACTTTGTTAATTATCTTGACAGTGCTAACAATGACAAACGAGGCTACAAAGATTTTAAAATAAGGTTTTCTCGACTTAAGAGTCAAGCAATTTGACTGAATTTTCAGCATATTCCATTTACATCATTTAGCTTTTAAATATTATATTTAGAACTGTCAGCTCTTTATTTAATCTTCCATAATGCATCTTTAATTTTCATACCAGTTCGTTCAAATTGAAGTTTTGTTTATTGTCTTTATTCATTAGGTTAAATTTTAAATATTATTATCAAAATAAATTCCCAAATACTTCTTATGCAAACATAAATAAAGGGCACTAAACTATTATACTTAAAAAGATACATTATGGGAGATAAGATAAAGAGATGGCAGTTCTCGCTATAATAGTTAAAAACTAGATAGTGTAAAGGTAATTTGCTGAAAATTTCAGTTAAATTGATCCACTATGAGCCGAGAAAGAAGCGGGTGAAATTTTTGCATAGTCTCGGTCATCATTGCTAAAATCATTAATATAAACAGCATAGTCTCGATTATCCACTTTTTCTGATTTAATTATCTTTGGCCGTTAGCGGCATATAGGAATCTAATCCAGCCTACATCGAAGGCTAGCCTTGACATCGTGAGTTTATTATGGTCTGGATAAGTTAATTAATGTCTAATTGATAATTTAGATAACATTTCAGGCCCAAAGAAAGCCTTGTAATAAGCAGATTTTGCTCTCGCATAATGCATGTTTAAGATTAGGTAATATTATATTCAAGTTAAATATCACCTGATTTTATATGACGAGCAACAAATATATCCCCCCCCCCTATTAGACTGAGACCCCCTTGTCATTATACTACCCATTAGGGCTTATATCAGAGTTCAGACGTCTCCAGATGTTGAGCACTGGATACAATTTAGTTTAAGTATCATTTAATAATGAAATTTAAAGAGAATGCCACTTTAATGTCGTCCAATGACGATTCATTGACAGACTCTAGTCCCTTCTATTATTTTGACACAAATTGTATAGGTTATAACCATTGCATTGGCTACATTTATATTCATATGATGACTTACCTACTTACTTACTAGAATGAACTGGTTTGTTCAAATTACAAACACTCGTCCGTTTTTCCACTTTCAGTATTTTATCACTAAAACCATTTAAACGTGTTGAGAATTCGAGATATCTACCAGGCGAATAATAGATAGGTGATTTAATCGCAACAGTATCTAACATAAATAAGTTTCGATTGTTGTTTCATGTTAAAATTCGTTTGCATTAAAGATTGCATTTGGATATTAGATGTTAAGCCGACTATCAGTTACATGACGCAAAAACCAGAACTGGTATTCTTTGTAGAAGTATTTTTTAAAATGAAAATTAGTTATTGATTTGATCATGCACAACACTAATAAATTGTCCATAACATTATGGTCTTGTGGAAGACCTTCCAGAAATCACAAACCATATGTGCTCATACTTAGAGGATGTGAGCTCCGTGTTTCAAAGAGTATATTATATTATCTTTAATTTCAAGGTATGTCCAAAAAGGATATAGACCAAGGATGGGCTTGGGTAGTTCTGGTAGCAGCCGCTACTAGCTTGGGATTATGTTCCATGGCAACAGCATCTATAGGAATATTCCAGGCTGAATTTCTGGAGAGTTTTGACGGAACGAGGAGTTATATAACTCTGGTGTGTTCAATTCATTCAGGATTACAACTATTTTTAGGTAAGTGGATACTTATGAGCTATTGTTCTGCATTCATTCACATATGCCTCTTTCAGAACAACGTGCGGTATTGTTTTCATTTTATCATCTATATAATTATACACTCGTGTCCATACATTTTGTTTGACCCTGATATTTTTTTTTATTTGCTAATTATTTTAATAAAGCTGTATGTTACAGTGTTTAAGAAATGGTTTCGAATTCTTTCTAGGATTAGTAATCAGGAAGACCCGTTCGAGTCCCAGGGGGAATGAAGTTGTGTCACTCTCGCATAGGTCACGCTTCTTAAAACTCAATGTCATCTGGAAAGCGAGAGCCTCAACGAGAATGTGAACATTCTCATGTTCCGGTGACCTATCGATGTGTTAATAACCTAGCACTATCTTACATAGCACCCACCATCTTATTTAACTGACTAATTCAAAGTTACGAGCCTTCCCGGAGTTTACGCTCATGTGACCAAATACAGTTGGTAATTCCAAGGAAGAGAATGAAAACATTTGGGGCAAGAGTTGTTAGTTCATAGTGTTCATCAAAAGTGCACCTTCTATTGAGTGTTTCAAATCCAGACCTAAAACATACCTATTTCAACGTTATATTTAATTTAAAATTGTGTGTAGAAAGCACATAGAGCATACGTTAAATGTGGAATTGGCGCTATACAAATATTCATATTATTATTATTATTATTAATGTTATCAAGCTAATACAATAATACAAAATATGGAAGAACTATAACAACACATCATGAAACCATACTTGACAACAAGATCAAAGTACAATGAACATGGGTTCAAGAGGGTGATAATCTACTTACAAGAGATTAGTGAAGCCATTGAGTATTATTTATGTAAATAGTAGCCGTGATTATGGCTAATAGACTACCCACATATAGGAAAGTAACAACAGGGTAATTAACTTTTAAAAACAACTATTATGATATAAGGTGATAATAGTAACCAATCATAACAAGGGTAAACCTACTACTGATAGTAATAAATATTAGAAGATGATATAATTTATAACGTTGAAAATAATAAAAATGAAAAAAATATATATTAATCATGACAACTAATCTTAATTCGACAGTACTAAAGAATGAGTCGATGTGATGAAAACACAATTTTATTATTATTATTAAAAACGTGTTATAGTCCCCCATTCACAGAATATACGTGTTCAAGGGTGCTTTACAATGGAACAAATATAGAATTATGAAACCATAAAATTAAACAATACATGTACAATACTAAATAAAACATACCTACACATTCAATATAAATTGCAATATACATGTTTATCTAAAAAGCTTGAAGAAATAGATAATGGGGTTTTAGTTTTATTCACATTATTACAGGACCTGATGTGATATGGTAACTTATTCCATATATTAGCAGGTGCTTGAACACTAAAAGATCTTTGACCAAAAGTTAAAAAGTGTTGAATGTTTGGGCTTTAAATATCGCCCTGGTATATACATATGTAAGAGTTCAGATAAATAAACAGGCGCTAAGTTGTTCAAATATTTAAAAGTTAACAATACAATTTTAAAATCAATTCTATAAGAAATAGGTAGTTAGTTATAGTTTATTACCATCATTATATATATATATATATCGAACAATGTGAACAGCTGGCAAAGTGAGAATTAAAACTGATACATACTAAATATCTAATGTATTTTTTTTTAAAATTGGGGTAATATAGTCATATTTGTAATGCGTATGATTTATTTAAAAGTTTGGCGGATAGACCAGTTAATAAAGGCCTAAAATTGCCCAATCTAGAAGTGACCGCGCAAAGCATTAACTAGCGCTTTTGTGGAGTCTATATTACAATATACATATATAATTTACTTGGGCTTAGATATTGATATCAAATATTGCACCAATATTACGGGCAGGTGACGAAGGATTAATTTCACTATTACCAATTAAGAAGGGAGATTTACAGTCAATTTTTGAACCAATTAATATATACATATATTCAGTTTTATCATCATTTAGATTTAGAAAGTTTCCTGACATCCACAATATAATTCCAGATATACATTCTTCAATAACAACTTTTGAACTGACATAAGAATCTGGAGTTTTATGTGCAAATGAAATATATATTTGGGTGTCATGTGCGTTTAAAATGAAATTCTAAGTCATATTTTCTATCTATATCATCTCCAAGTGGTGAGGTGTATAACGGAAATAAAATAGGACCAAGGACAGAACACTGGGAAACGCCAAAATTTGAAACACAATGCAAAGAATATGTATCATTTAAAACAGCACATTGCTGCCTACCAAGTAAATACCTTTCTAAAAGATTAAGAGCAGAATCATTTCTACCAAATCTAAAACGGAGACGATTTAAAAGAATGTCAGGTCTAATAATAATAATAAAAATATATTTTTTTGTTATCATGAGCTAAAACGATGTCATTTGAAACACCAGTTAAGGCAGTTTCAGTACGGTAAAAAGTTTTATATGGGCACATGCAGAGACATATATTCAGTATTACACGTCAACTGACTTCCATACATTTTTCAAATATTTTGGAACTTAAATTTGAAACAAACCTATAATTTTTCAAAACATTACAATCGAGGTAGGTCTTTTTAATTAGAGGAGTTAGAAAGGCAAGTTTGAATACACCCGGAACAATGCTAGTATCTATACAGGAATTGATTATATCAATAATTACTGGTACTGTTTCAGACAAACAGTTCTTCAGGATATGTGTGGGAAGGGGTTCAAGTGCACACGACTTGTGCACACGTTTATCATTATTCAAGAGCATAATAGAATAAAAAAGATAAAGTTAGATCTAGACTGTTCCGTTATATACATATATGGCCTCAACCAGATTACAGGCCTTTTCTATAGGAAGGTTAGCTGCCAGAGTTTTAGTCTGTGTTCTATATTGGGTTGTAGGTGTTGTGCTACATCCGAGTTGGTAGTAAAGAATTTGGATTTATGCTGGCAGATTCCTTTGTCTCGTTTCTCCAATTGCTGTCACAGGTGTAGACGACTTCGTAAACCCGTTCTCTGGGTTGTTTTGTTGGAGGACGTTTACCACTGGCTTTAAGGATATCTTTAAGGGTTCTTCCTTTTGAAACGTGCTCTATCCAATTATTAAATGCCTCCAAAAATTATATATAATCTTGTTTTTTCATTTTTAAATATTTGTGTACTTGAAGTTGTAATTTTTATTATTTATTTTATTTAAAATTCTGCGATATGTTTCTCATCTCCATAATATGTTTGGCGCAAAATACCCAATGTGTCATAAAACACCACTTTGTTCATTCATTCCTTTCGAGAAGCATACTAAATGTTTGTGTACCTCGATGAACCAGATTTCATCTATCACAATATTATTAGGATTTTCTGTTGGTTTGGACAATTTTTTATAACGCATGTAATGTTTGGTTTACCCCATTTAATGGCCTAACATTGCATTAAAATACTGACAGAATATTAAAATATAATATTGTTATAAATTTAAACTGTGTATCACTTTTTCTTACAGTCTTTCCTGCCAATGATTAAACCAAAACGAACCTGGTAATAATTTATGTTTCTGCTTTATTCCAGGACCAGTTGCTAGTATAATTTGTAATGCATTCTCCATTCGTGTAGGCGCCATGTTCGGATCTATGGTATTTTCACTAGGTCACTTTTTCTTACAGTCTTTCCTGCCAATGATTAAACCAAAACGAACCTGGTAATAATTTATGTTTCTGCTTTATTCCAGGACCAGTTGCTAGTATAATTTGTAATGCATTCTCCATTCGTGTAGGCGCCATGTTCGGATCTATGGTATTTTCACTAGGTCTAGTACTTTCATCTTTATCGTCAACATTTGAAGAACTGCTGCTGTTTTTTGGTGTAATCGCAGGTGATTATATTCAAAATTAATGTTGATACAGTGCTTTGCTGTAAATGTATATAATTTGGAATATATCAGCAATATAACTAACGGACTTACTAGACTATTACTGTTTCATAGAGACAATCCAATTCATATTTTATTGTGATCCAAATCAGGAAATATTTTATACTTTCAGGCTCCGGATTCGGAATAATGTATACATCGGTTAGTGTTATAACTAGTCATTATTTTCATGAAAAAAGACTCATAGCGTGCGGTATAACATTTGCCAGTCCTGGCTTAGGTTACCTCGCTGGTCCATCTTTAACACGATATCTTATCACAAACGTAGGCTGGAGGTCCACATTGGGTATCATCGGATGTTTCGTCTCTCAGGTCTGCGTCTTAGGGGCTCTCTTTTTCCCAATAGACGAAAAACACAAAAACGGATGTAAATCAGTCTGCCAAAGAAACAAGAAAAATGTAAAAATCCGGAAGGATGATAGGGCGGTGGGCGTTCCACTAACAAGAGATTTTAGTCCAAAGAGAATTCAGGAGTTGAAAAGTGAAAGTCATTTAGAAATACCGAAATATAACAAGTCCGATGAACAACAACAGAACAAAAATAACAATATGACCCTAAGCAATTGTAATTCGGAATACAACAACTATAATAATTCAAATGAAAGTCTCTCTTATCCTACAGTGCCAAATTCCTTACCAGTTGGATTTAACTCGCCGACTCTATCTGCACATAAACCCTTTAGCAGGAAGGGATTTAATACTAGTTTAAGTTCTGTGAATTCACATAATATTCATGAGCGATATATCACTGTAAAGGATGGGGTTTCGATATCAAAACCTGACGGTAGATTTATTACAAGTATTCAAACCCTGTCTCCGCTTAGTCATGGTCATCGACACATTTCCGGCAGTTTAATATGGGAGTCACACTGGAGTATGCAGCACGTTGGTAATTATTTAGCCGAAGCTGACGATGCTGAAGAATTCGGGATTCTTCCAGAAGATTCCCCAAAATCTACTTGCAAACCTGATTTTAGTGTTCTCAAAAACAAAGCTTTGTGGTGTCTTAGCTTAAGTCAATTCTTCCTTATATGTGGATATGGAATAAATTTCATTCACTTTCCTTCCATGGTAGTAGCTAATGGAATAGATATATCTGTGGTTCCAGAACTGTACATGACTCAAGGTGTTGCGCTCATAATAGCTCGTCTAATGGGTGGATTATTCGCTAGTCATCCCGACATTAACATTCTTCTTGTAAGTTTTGGCTGTCAAGTGCTCGTGGGAGCACTAGTGTTTTGTGTACCCTTTCTTGGTAGTAATATATGGGCGTATCATCTGTACGTAATTTTTTTCGCAATGTACTATGGAGGCACTTATGTAGTTCTTACTCAAATTGTGATCAAGATCTTAGGATTACAACACTTAGCTACTGGGTTTGGACTGCAAATGATGATGGCAGGGACATCATTTTTTATAACACCAGCATTAGGAGGTAAGATATTCCCCATGTTGTCTCCTTCGCGGTTACGTAATTTGTTTTGAAAGTGTTAGTGTTGCGAGAAGTAGCGTTGCTCCTGTGCCGTACGTGGCGCATTGGCCTATTATTCATAGCATCTGCGTTCAGACATCTTGAACTGTCCATGTATTTGGCAAACTATGTTTTATCTCTCATTAATTAGAATCTCGGTTGTCGGAGAAATGTATCTTAGTCGATAGAATGCAAGAGATACCAGTATTTGAATTTTGAAAACAGGCATTATGCAAGAGCTAAATCTGCCTATTGCAAGTCTTTCTTTATGCCTTAAATGTTATATAAAATTAAACATTTATTAATTTAAAAATAGAAAAGCGAGACTTTGTTTATTATCTTGACGGTAGCAATGACAATTGAGGCTACACCGTTTTTCTAACGGCGATAACTCGGCCCAGAGTGAAGTAATTTGACTGAAATGTTCAAAGGATTCCTTTGTTTAACTATTATAAAGAGAACTGCCAGCTCTTTATCGACATCTTACATAATGCACCTTTAATGATAAACAAAAATATCTTCATTTCAGGTTGGCTTTATGACATTACAGAATCTTATGCTTTTGCATACCATTTTGCAGGTAATATAATTTTCTTTTCACGCCGTTCATATCCGTCATAAGCGTCTGTGAACAACAAAGTGACTTTATCCCCACGTCGTTACCACTCATATTCAGCCGACACAATCAAATCCGGCATAGCTAAATGTTCAAATTGCTAATAAAAACATAGGCAACCTAAACATTTTACATCGCATGAGGTTAATCAATCAATCATTTATACCCGATAGGAAGTATGGTAAACCGAAAAATCTTGATTCACAATTTCTCGCTCTAATAACTAGAACTACCGAATGTTAAAACAACGAAACGAAGCGAATTTACGTGAATAAAACTGGGTTTGACGTCCTACATGCAACAACCGTGCTTGACGACGAGCATACACCATACAGTGAGCGATGAGAGAAATTTTTTCCGGGCAGCAATTAAATTCTTTACGCGTACGCCAACGGCCGTGTTGCTTTGTTTTATTCAGTGGGTCAGAATTAAGCAAAAGAAAACACAAATATATTCACGATGAACAATACAACCACCGATAGGCGAATTTATTAGTCATTAGCCCGGCTGTAGCATAAAGGTAGGATGTTACACCCCATTCCCTTTCGTTGTGAAATGTCCGGTAGTTCTAATTTTGTACAATTTGTACGTAGGGGTTGGGGCCGCGGTAGGGGAACAGGGCAGAATGACCTGGGTTCAAGAAACACCGTGGGAATTGTCATGGACAGCGCATGTGCTGCTCACAGGGAAAGTGGTGCCTAGTCGTTCGGTTAGGACGAACACGTGTCCAAACTGCATTGCACGTAAAAGAAACCTTGGTTATTAGAAATAAACAGAAAGGCCACTGTCCGAGCACAATATGTCCTCTAGCATTGCACACGTGATCATTCCTAGCCTATCCATTCAGATGATTACATGATCTTATATTGTTGTAATACAATTCAGGTGCAGTTATGTTCGGTGGTGCATTTTTTGTATTGATGATACAAGTTATCGATCCAGTATCATTTATGGACGAGCCACCTGAGGAGATTGTAATAGGAAGTGAAGAAATAAACACAGAGAAACAAGAATGATGACCGATGCTGGTATTGGTGTTAACTAATACCTAAGACGATCGCTATTATTCAAATGAGAAAACGTCGAAGTTATGATGATTGTATCTGTACACTTAACCGGGTGATAAATATATTGACACACAACGAGTTCTTTAATTCCGCGTCCGGGTGTCCACCCATTCAACAGCTCAGCGAGTAAGGCTCTGGATTTTCCGACGTGGATGCTGTGATGCAGTACAGCGTCTAGTCGTTCGGATGAGACCAAAACCCGAGGTCCGTCTTTTCACTTGAAAGTCGGAATTCAATTGCTGCCCGGGCAAAATTTCCAACATGGTACACTGTATTGCGTGTGCCCATCGTCATTAGCTCGGTTGGTGCAGAAATATGGGACGGTAAACCCCATTTCGTTCATGCATTCTGAATTTTATTAATCACTCCTGTACTATTTGTTACACAATCATGTATGGCATGAGATGCCTTTGAGAAGCTTCGAAATCAGAAACCATATTATAGTGGGCTGTTAATTTCTTTCAGTTTGAAAGCAAAACGTTTGATTATGTGTCAAATAAACAATTTACTGGGCTCTAAATGTACTTCTAGAGATACGAATGGAGAGATAGTCATTATAATATATGTATTCTGTTATATGTACATTACCAATTAAAATATGTAATATATGTATCACGACACGTTTATATTAACCTTGTGTGGCAATTAACGATTTTTCATACAATATCAGTTGCATAATGCTTAGATATTGGTATGTTAAACCTGTTACAGTGTATATGTTACAGTCAATGTCTACAATCAGGCAATGTGTACAATGCCTGAAATATACCAGTCAATGTGTACATTGCAGGGTTCGGGTTAGGGTTAGGGTAAGGGTTGGGTGGGGGTTAGGGTTACAAAGGCATTGTACACATTGCCTGATTGTAGACATTGACTGTAACATATACACTGTAACAGGTTTAACATTGCCTGATTGTAGACATTGACTGTCACATATATAAATAAAACGGTTTATATTAAACTTGGATCTATAATTACTGATTGAACTGAAAATTGGTAGAATTAACGAATAAATTAAAAACCATTCGTGCAAAGACAGGACACCACTCCCTCTATGGATTCTGTCTGGTAAAATTTGCCTACTTCACCATTTTTCAACGTAATTATGCATGGTCTCTTCAAAATTGGTGTCAAATGTTAGTTTGATACACACCCTTTTAAATAAAATAAAAAAAAACCCAACTGGTGACTATTTTGATTGTCTAGGAGTTCGATGAAACTAAATATTAAATCCTGCCTTAAATGTATATTTTGGTGACTATCCCAACAATTAAAGGTGAAATGGACACATTCGAACGACTTGAATAACGAATTTGAAATAATCATGATTATAATTCGTATGTGTTTCTTGTGAATTAATGTTTTTCTAAAACTTTTATTGGAAATAACTACATGATAAGTATTGTCGTGGGGATGTATCTTTAAACATTATGTATTTGATGAACAGGTTTATATGAAATCATTATTGTCCATCATATAGAAGGAAACTGTATAGCCTTAAGTTTCCATACAAAATAGAATTTGGAAGGTATAAGGGGGTCAGAAAAATATCTCTGTGTACCTGTTCGTGTTGAACCCTGTTTAGATATTATAAATGCAAGGGTAAAGTTAACTAGTATCGTGTAGAAGGCACGAAAAGCAATCCACTGCCATGGTTAAAACAATGTACTTGTATGTATTATGTTATATTTGTTGATTAATATAAATGTGAATATATCTATCTCTAAAATGGTGTTCTGATAGAAAATGCCATATAATGCGCTCATGTTAAAATATGTACATAATCGCGTTAAAACAAAGTAACAAAATCGCCCCTGATTTAAACATGCATTATTGATTAGACAAATTATTAATTAGACATTACTTAACTTATCCAGACCATAATAAACCCTCGATGTCATCGCTAGACTGCGATATTTACTGGATTAGGATTCGATCTTCTGCTCAACGCTCATTCATTATTAAATCATAAAATGGATAATCGAGACTGTTTTTTTTTATCGTACCGACTTTAGTAATCATAATGATGATCGGGGCTGGACCAAAAATTCAATCGCTAAATTCTCGGTCAGAGTGGTTCGATTTAACTGAAATTAAAAATTCCCATTACATTATCTAGTTTTTAACTATTATAGTGAGAACTGCCAACTCTTCATCTAATCTCCCATAATGTATCTTTAAGCTACTAAACATGCCAAACTGGGGGCATTTTGTATGTATGTGATGAACAAATGTTGGTTGATTTTAGAGTTATGCTGTTTATTTGTTCTAATTGTGTGGGGGAGGGGGCAAAGGGAATTTAGTGAGTAAGGCGCTGACTCAATTTCGGTGTTCGATTACGATGTTGGTCGAGAAAGTATCTTCGGATTTCCAATGTGGTTGGCCCTTGTCAGTGGTGTAGACGGAAGTCCTGGCACTGACAAGTGTCTAGTCGTGTGGATGTGACGAAGAACCGAGGTTCCGTGTACGCGTTGGCAATCACGTAAAAGAACCCTTGACAGTTAGAATTCGAAAGAAGAGAAGGTTCGGCAACATTTATCTCATCTGGATACCACATTCACGTCGTCATTATCCTTGTGGTGCAGAACACTAAATCACATTATTCCATTTCATCCTTTTATCTTAGTGGCAAATTAATGGTTATCTCCCCTTTTGGCTATATAAAATTAAATACTAAGTAATAATACACATTTACGTCACATAATAGAACTTGTTATATCATGATTCGTTTTTAAAGACATGAATCGATAAAACACCCAACATTAGAAACGTCAAATATTCTAATTTATTGTACTCAAACACTAGCAATCTGAGTAAATCACTTATATGGCTATACTACTTCGGAAGTTTATGGTTATCAAGAAAATTTGCTTGCTAACGATAGCTATATGTGTAATGAAACGTAGCATGTTAATAAACTCCAGAAGTAGTATATAAGTGTTTTAATTTTGTGCAATCTATTTCTATGTGTCTTATACGGACTAGAAACCTGAATTATAAAATCTGGAGATAAAACATAACCTGAATTGATGTCATCAAAAAGCAAGGATTCCATAAAACATCCATATCCATCAATAGATTATATATTGATATTACACATAATAAAGTAAATACCGTTATCTTTTGTGAAAAATTTAATATTATAATTATTTACTCCTCTTCTATTTCGATGTCTTGGTTTATATCATTGGTGAAAGAGTTTTGTTCAAAAATCTGTATCATCGGGACAAAAAATGCACCGGCAAAAATAATCGACCCTGCAAAAGTAAAAAAAGAAAAGAAAATGACAGCATTCAAAAAATATTATCCTCTCTGACTTGGTATTTTTTTATATTTGTTGGAAATTGTAGGTTGGGAATAAACTAAACCCATTTCTGCAAATTCTGGTCACATGGAACAAACATGTTACACTAAATTTTCTAAAGGGGATGACCGTATTTTGTCTATGAATTGGGGCGTTTTGGATTTTATAATATTAGAAACATCTGGGCCATTGCTTAAACGACCTGATAATCTCAACCATCACATTACGGGAACCATAATGGCATGGCTAACCAGTTGAGATATAGCCGCAGGTATGTGGACTAAAGGTTTATAAGTGTCTTCCGTCTTCAATAGCGCGATTGATAAAGAACAACAGGGAGAAACACCAGAGTAATGCCCCTTCCAGAACAGGACACAGCTTAGAGTTTGAACAGCCTATAGTTCTTTGGAGCTTGTGCACACCATAGAGATCAGATGTCTTGAAGGATACTTTCCATATCAAATTTGGTCAACATCTAAGTTTTCTTTTCGAAAAGCTACTGTCGACAAGATATGGCTGATGTGTGATATAAATGTCTTTCCGGCCGGTTTAATTGACTAAAATATATTTGGGGTGTCTTCTTAAAAAAAGGTCTAGTATCTTGGACCAACAACACTAAGATAGTCATGTGTTAAGAAAACCTACTTATTGTGTCTCCCAAAATATCTTCAAATTATGATTAATGTTGGAAATACATGTAGAATATGCAATGTCGGTTTCAGACGAAGAAGGTATGGCTGATGTGTGATATAAATGTCTTTACCGCCGATTTCATTTACTAAAATATATTTGGGGTGTCTTCTTAAAAAAAGTCAAGTTGTCTTGGGCCAACAACACTAAGATAGTCATCTGTTAAAAAAACTTACTTATTGTGTCTCCCAAAATATCTTCAAATTTTGATTAATGTTGGAAATACACGTAGGATATGCAATGCCGATTTCAGATGAAGAAGGGTCCAAGGTTGTTCCACTTACAAGACACCTCCCAATCCCTCAACCGCACGACTAGAAGTAGATGAACTATGTGGTTTAACAACAACTGAGCAAAGCCAAGGATGATGACGTATGCTTAAGATAAGACTGACTATTGTGTGTGTAAGAAAATCATTGCACGTCTTTAGCCAAAGACCCCCCCCCCCCCTAATTTTTAGACCCTTTGTCCCCCACCTCCAACTCTCTTACCAGAAAAAAAGTATGCCAGGTCGTAAGAATCTGTAATATCGTATAGCCAACCTAAAACAAAAAAAAAAACAAAAAAGAAAGGAACTACTTTTGGAGAATTTAAAGCAAAGCGTACGTAAATAATGGTATTTTAAAAGTACAAGATACATTGTCAGTATCACTAAGAAAATATAAGTAATAGTTTTTTAAATAATAATATAGAATCTAAAATCACTCGAGACCTATCTTTTAATTGTTTGTTTAGCAGGTCTGAATTGTGACCCCGTTGGTATAATTAAATGACACAAAAATCTAACCTACCTGCTAAACTTGGTGTAATGAAATATGCGATTCCTGCCATCATCATTTGAATACCAAATCCTGTAGCCAAATTGTTAAGCCCTAATATTAATACCAGAATTTGACTGAGAACAACATAGGTTCCCCCATAATAAAAGGCAAATAAGAACTGACAGAGATGATAGGCCCAAATGGTATCACCTAGAAATGGTAGACAGAACACTACAACTCCTAATAACATTTGACATCCAAAACTAATCACAAGAATGTTTATGTTTGAACTTCCACAAAATAAACCGCCTAGAATTCGTGCTACAATCAGACTTATACCCCGTGTTATGTACAACTGAGGTACCACAGATATGTCTATTCCCTTCGAAAGAATCATGGATGGATAATGAATAAAGTTCACACAGTAGCCACACATGATAAAGAACTGACTTAAACTTAAACACCACAACGCTTTGTTCTTGAGCACACTCAAATTAGGTTTACATGAGGATTTATTAGTGGTTGGTATATTCTCCTCGTCAGCAAGTTGATTACCTAGATACTGAATACTGGAGTGAGACGCCCACATCAAGTTGTCAGATGTGTGAAGATGTCGACGAGAAACGGATGAAAGCGATCGTGTACTGTTGAGAAGTATGTTTTCTGTCTTGGGCAGTGGCATCAAGACACTATCTTTGATGTTTTCACGAATATTGCTAGAATTAATGGAACTGTCACTATTATTGAACTCGTTTCTAAATGGAAGTGATTTGGATCCTTGTTGCGATTTGAGCATTTCGGGAGATCTATCCTCTGTGGCATTCCGACAGGTGTTCCTCTCGTATGTACGATCATTTTCTGACGTGCGGTGGCATATCTGTACCATTGGTGGCCCAGTCAGCAGACTATCGTGGTCCTCAATTTTAGGATGAGTGTTTGAGTTCTGATTGGAGTTTTGCAATAATGGATGGCTATTCAAGGGATCTTGCATACTTACTTTTAAGCTTTTGTTACTTTTTGTGTCCCGTTTTATACATTTACTGGGGCAATAATTGGATTTATTACCTTCATGCATTGGGAAGAAGAGCGCTGTTAAAATTAAAGTGTGGGCCATAATACAGCTCATTATGGCCATAGCTGATCTCCAGCCATACAATTCTATTAGATATCTGATTAATGTAGGACCGAACATGTACCCAATTCCTGGACTAGAGAATGTTATACCACAAGCGAACAGTCTCTTTTTGTGAAAATAATGGCTGGTGATGACGTTTGCTGACGTATAAAATATTCCAGATCCAATACCTGAAACATACAAAAGGAGAGTTACCCGTAAACAATAACTTGCACCAGAGATTGCTCGCAGTAGACTTTCATTAGAAAGATATTCCAATTAAAAATATAAATTGATCATTGTCTCAAATATATATTTTTAAAAATATTCTCATGGTTTCATTTAGCTCCATATCATACTCTACTGCGATCAGTCGTCCATATCTTTGCGCACCCTGACTTTCAACATATTTCAACCAAGCTGAATTGTGAAATCCATGAAACGGGGTAGCTTACACTAGCTTACAGTAAGTTCTTGGTCTGTTTGTTACGGTCACATAAGGACGGCTCCACTGTCCACAAGACGAGGTAGGGGTCCAGGATGGTCGTCTACATCATCACGGTCTTCGCAGCTAGTGGATGTGGATCGTAATAAGAATGCACCGTGGGTCTATTGAAACGTCGTAGCAACGCCCTTGGCGTGTAACGAGCGTAATAGTTCTCAGTGACAGCACAGTATGGACAGTAGAGTAGAGTAGGCCAATATATCGCACGCTGGAATAATATATAATTACCTGTTAAAATTCCATAAAACAGCAGCAGTTCTTCAAATGTTGTTGAAAATGATGATAGCATGAGTCCAAATGTGTAAATGGCGGCACCTAACATTGAACTAAATCGTATTGAGAAAATATTACAAATGACACTTGCCAATATACCTAAAATATATAATTAGACAAAAATGTTAGTATTGTTAGAATCTCCAAAGAATTATACAATCGTGTTTGTAATCGTAGCCGCGTACAAACTGTGTGATTTGATGATATATTTGGACTAAAAACATATTCAAAAATTTGCTTCAAATCCCTCTCAAAACTTTGTTTTCGTGGGGGATATACCACAAGCTATAAATAAACTGCCGTCAACTCAATTCATTGTGGGAGGGTCCATTTTTCAGACCGTATTTTCTATTACTTACTGTCCATTTATCGTGCATATTGAGACCTAAGCAAATTCTTAATTATTTTCTGTCAACTTCTTTTTCCGCCGTTTTAAATTTTCTGTCAACTTCTTTTTCCGCCGTTTTAAAATTTGACAACCGCTCCCTCAGTCAAGCTAGCACAATAAGCTGGCAGACAACAGTCGGGTTGCCAGTTAGTGATACCCTGACATTTTTGCACAGTGTTTGCCCCATGGCTATTTTTCGGGTAATCCAGTATTTTTCAAGTAAGATTACTTGAGTGTCTATACTTTCCATATATATACATACCAAATTTGCCAGACTTTCGGGACAATATATCTTTAAAATGCAAGCTAAATAGGAAAAGTACAAGAACGTTGCCGAAAACCCTCTGAACGCTATATAGGTTATAGGTTTTAACAGATTTGTTTTTGTTTGAAATTTGGTTGGAAGCAATGGGGTTTATAAAAGGATGAACCCTAGATCCTTATCCAATTTGCTCAACATCCAAGTTTTATCTTTTCTTTGTGATAAGCTACAGTGTTGGCAAAGCTGCTGTGTGGGCGTATTTATATGGCTATATTTACTATTTGAATAAGGCAGGTGAAGGTAGTATCCATGAAAGGGAGTTCTTTTACCTACCTAAAAATAAATTTAATCCTATATGAGTAGAACCAATTAATGATATTTTACTGCGAGTTCCTTCAAATTCCTTTAAAAATTCCACCTGAAATATGCCAGTTGATAAGGTTATCATCGTGTAGATTCCTAAGCTTGTAAAGGCTGCAAACAATACAACCCAGGCCCATCCTTGATCTATGTCCTTCTTTTTTGCCATATCTTTAAAATAAATAATACATATTACATAAACACATTCACACATACATCCACACACACACCCACACGGAGAGAGAGAGGGGGAGAGAGAGAGAGAGAGAGAGAGATATTGATGTGAACATCTTCGTTCATTGGGCAAATATGTTATTTAAAATGTAGACTTAAACTGCGTAATAAACACATAGTCGGTTTACATTTGACCATTTGTCGGGGAACAAGGTTTGAAGATGGTTTCTGATAGAGGGGACCCTAGTGAAGATATTTGTAGCTTGCTACCTCTGAAATCTACAGGCAAACTTCAGGAGGGCTAAAAATCCAAGATGGCGGCTAAATTGGCTTGAAATTGACCTTGACAACCATTGTTGGCAAAATGACCCTTGTAATATATTATTTTATAGGTTTTGTTGGTCACCCGACACATTTTGGACAGTTTCCGATTCATTTCAAAAACGCTTGATCCAATATAACAGCCAAAATCCAAAATGGCGACGGAAATTTGATCCAAAAGTACCAATAGCAACATATACGTGTGATATGTAGTTTCAAGGTTCGTGGAGGACGAGAAACACGAATGTGCCGTTTCCAAGATGATAGAACCAATTTTAAAGGATATGGCATAAATTGTCGCTATCATAATACATTATAATGCAATATTTAATGTATTCCGCACTGTGACTCTCAAATCTGCGGCAAGTCTGAGAATTTTGAGTCATCTATGAGACTTAAACACTCAGCAGAGTGAGATGTTTTAAACGCCTAGACATAGAGCATCTGGTGTGTATCATATAGACAAACACTTCCTATTCTCTACTTTCCAGACATTCCTAATAGGAGATGGTGAATTCTGGAGTCTGTAATGCAGAATAATGTAGGGTAGGTAGACAGTCAGCTCTTTTGACCTTTTGCATAAAACTATAGCGATCTAGTGACATACACGTGGCACATCCTACAAAATGTATGCTTCCATGTCACTGAATAGTTTTCTTTTCGAATAATATTGAGCGCATCGAAATTGGGGCATTCATAGTCGTTTGAAAGGGTATAGGCACTCAGGTCCCAACACATTTTAAGGTCAAAAAGAAGATATTTTATACAAAATCTGTTTCTTTATCATAATGGCTGAATGAATATTTCTGAAATGTGGTAAGAATCATCCTAAGATGATAAAGGTAAGAGTTTGTCTGAGAGAAATTAGAGAATTTTGATAACTATTATTGGCATGAATGTTACTTATCGAATGCAATTGCTGGATCCCATAGTTTGGGTGAAACAACATTTTGATACAGCAAATTTTCAACTCCTCCAAACCCTTTAAACAAAATTTAGTAGATATGCTTGTCCAATATTTTTCAACTGGGCAGGCAATGGACCAGAGGCGTGGAATTGGAGGAAGGGAGGGGAGATGGCGAATCTTCTAAAAGTCATAATGGATTGCAGATAAATTTCTAACCTATTGCCAGGATTATGCTGGACCAGTTTTTAGATAAATTTGTATTGAAATATTTAGTCAAATTATTCTGTTAAAAGCAGCTCCAGCATAATCCTGGCAATAGGTTCTGAATTAGGCTGCATCCCATCTTGACTGTTAGGAGAATCAAGAAGTCTACAATGTTTGATGAAGCCGGAGGTCATTATTTGCCCCGACCGCAAATCCAGTATTGGGCCTACTACCGAGAAATGTACGAAAAGAAACTTTTCATACAATTATATAAAATCAGATGAAATAAACCTTTTACAACAATGGTAACAGCGATAATTTCAAATTTCAACAAACTTAATTTTGAGTTCACTCTTTGAGTGGATTCCCCATGAAATGGATGTCTGGCGCATGAACGGATCTGGACAAGCACCACTCAAACAACATACCTACCAAATTTAGTTGAAACAAATCAAGGGGTTTACGAGGGGCCCAAAATTTGTGCAATCAAGGTGCCTTCACCAAAAACTTTGGGATCAAGCAATTTAAGTAGACTAATTTTCAACAAGTAACAGTTATCAAAATTCTTCAACTAATTTCAGACTTATCATCTGAGTGCGACCCTTACTGCGTTTCGGAGATACCCATTCCGCCATTATGAAAATTTACTCAGATTTGGCAATATAACTTCTATTTAACCCTTAAATGTGTTGGGAGTTATGTGACTACATATATACAGTTTATAAATATTATAAATGCCCCAATTCGGAAGCGGTTACTAATATTTTGAAAATAAAAATATTCTGTAACTTGGAAGCATACGATTTATTTTGTGTACCACACGTTTACCACAAGATCGTAATAGTATAAGGCAAAAGGTCAAAAGCGCTAAATATCAATCCTACATTATGCTGCATTACAGACTCCAGAATCCACATTGACCCCTTAGGCATCTCCTTTAAAATTAGGTCTATCAGCTTGGAAATGGCATATTCATGTTTCTTGTCCCCCTCGCCCCTCCCCAAACCCCGAAACGACATATCACACTTGAAAGTTGCTATCGGTATTGAAGGAATACTTCTGTCGCAATTTTGAATTTTAGCGGAAACTGTCCAAAATGGGTCGGGTGACTAACAAAACCTATAAAATGATATATTACAGAAACTCAGATCCAACCAAATAGAATAATTCAGGGAACGGAATTGGCTTTTAATGCCCCGTCAACTGCTTCTGTTATTTTGAGACAAAAGCATTGCAATTTTTACTGCTATGCTTACGCAGATAGCGCGAGCTTGAGAATTTTCCCCTACACTTCTTCGATTTCCAACTGTCGCTGGTTCTTTTATGTAGACACCAATATGTACACAGATGCACTCCATTTGTTCGTCTCTTCCGACCTACTATGCACACCTTTTTCTCAGCCCTACATCAATACCTCTTGCAAGTGAAGGACAGAGCTTTAAAAAATCTAACAGTTTCTTTTCCGTCTACGCCCGGATGTGAACACGAAAGAGTTTATCCGAAGTGATTGAGCATACAAAGATGTAATCAATGGCAACAATTTAAAAATAAAAACGATCTAGTTAGAAACTACAATAATTCTGAGAACGTAAAAAAAACGTGTTGATTAATTCGAACGTAAAAAAACGTGTTGACCAATTCGATTTGAAATTAGAGAAACTTTAAAAGGTTTCCTACCTTTAGTAATCATTAACTGATTGAGAAGCGGTTTCGTATGGGTTAAATGGCCCCGAATTTCGATTATACGAACAAGCCCCTGTTATTGTAATCTGTTTAGTCCCGTAAACATTTTCACAAATGTGACAAGATGCGGTGCAAATTCTCATTAAGATAACAGATGGCGCTGTTTAAAATTGAAATTTACAATAACAAGCTCCGCTTTCTGCTTCAATATAAAATATATGACAGCTGTATAGATAAGATAAGCCTCCTGGCCCTGTCGTTCTTCTCACAGTCAGCGCGCTGCTTTACAATGTATTATCCCGTTGTAGATCAGCCAGCACCTGCAGGGGCGTACATAACGATTTTGTTTGAGGGGGGGGGGGTGTTTAGCGAAAATGCGACCGACTGATGCCCATACCCCTAGTACGAGTGACGCAGTCAGGAACCGAGCACCATGTGAAGTAGCGGATCTAGATAGGGGTGGGGGGTCCAAATCGAGGGCGCCACCTCAGCCACAATCCCACCCCACAATGAATGTCAACAAAATACTGGCTATAACATGAAGCGTCCCTTTAGAACATAGATGGTATTGTATAGTTGTTTGCCGATCGTTGTCTCGCTGGAAAGCAGTTTTATTTAAGTTGACATAAAGTTTATGTCATATATGATTGTGCCTATAACACTGAGCAGTTCAGTATAACCGTGAATATGATAGTGCTGAGACAGTATAAGACAACAGAGGAGTGGAAGAATGATGTTATAATGGAATCGAGCGCCGCAGGCGCGAAAAAATTTGAGATGTGTAACCGAGCTTTTAATTTTTGGGAATGGGCCTGACAATTTTAGTCAATGTCATGGCAAATGGATCCCAATTCTCGTTAACGAGAGGATAAGAAATGGGACAGAATCTTGAGGCCTATCTGTCAATGTCGCCTGTTTTGTGAGAGTAGAACTAACAATTTTACAGTCTTTTGACCCACGACTCACTCACTAGTGGTACTACTAACTGGACGATTCACTGTAACTGTGAATACGATATTGATGAGATAGTAAAAGTCAGAGAAGGAGTTGAAGAATGATGGCATAATGGACTGGGCCTGAGGGCACTTTACCTCAATGGGGCGCTTACTTGATCTCTGAAATGCCCTGGACTTTGGGGAGAGATTTTGCAGAATTCTGATGGTCAGAAAACACCCCATTAATTCATTTAGTCTGAGACCGACTGCGGTGAGCACTTTTTTTTGGGACCGACTATTTTTTTGCCATGGGGTGAAAAACATTTTCTTTCAAACATGATAAGTCGACAAGGTTATTTTATACTAAAGTTTTGCGTGAGTAGAGTGACGTGTGCAGTGAGCACTTATTTTGATACCGACTGCTCATATCTTACGACCTACTGCACTGATTTTGCGACCGACTAGTATTTGGGATCTATTCTGGCATTATTTGTTTACCTCATTAATTCATTAAGACGGGGATGCATAATTTTGAGACCGACTGCAGTGACTGCACTTATTTTGAAACCGACTATTTTTCTCCCTGGGGGAAATTTTGTTCTTAGACCTACATACTCACAACAGAATAAGAGTGAAACACAATAAGTTGACAAGGTTATTTTATACTAAAGTTTTGCGTGACGTGTGCAGTCAGCACTTATTTTGATACCGACTGCACTGATTTTGATACCGACTGCACTGATTTTGCGACCGACTATTTTTTTTTCCTGGGGGGGGGGGGGGTGTACCTCCCCCCCACCCCCACATTTACGCCCCTGAGCACCTGTCTACCATCAGTCAGGGTCGCATATTTCAAAGTCTGAAGCTATTTTTCTTTCAAGTTTATCCGATTTTCTTTTAAAAAAAGGACAACTTTTCACTAAAAATTCTACACACGCTTCGAACGACGCAATTTTGATAACTTCTTTTTAAAAGCGGCAACTTTTCCTAATAAGTAAACCGGTGCCGCATCGCAATTGCATAGGTGTAGGTACATATCACTTACCGTCATACAGCCGAGGCTAGATGTAAAGTAACGGAATCTGCCGAGGTTTGCCGAGTGTCAGGTTCGTGAACAATGGTTTTAATTTTAAAACACATCCCTCGACTAAATTTAGCTCATTTGGCTCTATATTTCAAAAGGCACGACAGTGTCTTTAATCTAGGTGATTGGGGCGACACCACGACGTAATGTCACGCCATATAATTATACAACGTATGTTTGTGTTATGGTCCTCTTTTAAGGTTTGTTTATACGCAATTATAATGTATGTATCTCATCGGACCATGTCGTCCAATTACACACATAAATCAATAATCCCTGTTCTATCTGTTATCGTACTGGTTAGTTATCGGTATACTGGGAAAATAACACATTTCGGTCATATCTAGTTATACATATATAGTATATAACATAGGTTTTTACCAAACATAGTACACAATAAGGTATTTCCAATATGTATTTTGCAGTCTACCAACATAGAATACGATTTACCTGACAGCTGTTTACCCTTCAAATATTTCCAATGTTAATCCACCCAACCATACAGAACCGTTTCGCACGGTCATACTGTTCAGAAATACTCACGAACCGAATCAACGTAGTCAAGAGGAAACGTATATACATTTTAATGTACATAGTTTATTAACCCAGTGGGTTATATTTGTAGTCCGTTTACATGCAACGCGATCAAATGAATGGATTAATGAATGTGCTGTAGAATATGCAGTCAAGGCCATAGTAACACCACGCAGCTTGTAGGTATTTATAGAGGTATATTATTTGAGCTAGTTTTGCTTATGTGAGATGTACTTACAATAAAATATTCCTTTCCGCGTGGTTTGATGATTCATTTGTACTAACACACATTCAACTAATTTATCAAATGTTTACTTCAAATCACTCTCACATCATTTTAATGGGAATAAAACTATGGAAGCCTATAACTACCATTCATAATTTCTACTTTTCGCCTCTTCAGAACACGAAAGTAGAAGTTACGACAAAATGTGAGGCGACAAGACGGTATACAAGCCAAAATCAACTCGAAAATAGGAAATTAAGAAATAACACACAGCGATAATAGCGCCCCTCGTTTTTTCCTAATTTCTTATGTTCGACTTGCATTTTGACTTGTATACCGTCTTGTCGACTTTCGACTTAGTCATATTTTTGTATTTATTGATGTCAGTAAGAAAGCGCCAACACGCATACCAAGCCAAAATGCAACTCGAAAAGTAGAAATTAGGAAATTAACACACCACGCTATTTGCGATTTTCGACTTTTCGCCTCGGAAGTTGTTGTAGTCTCAGTTTTCCAGGTCGCATTTGAATACGTGCAATCGGGGCTCACACTGTATTTCGTTCTTTTCCGTCAAAATGGATAATAATTTTTATATAAAAAAAATGTTCATATTTTTTCCGCCAACTGGGGTATTTTATCTGCCAAAAATGTCTGATACCCCCCCCCCCCCAAAAAAAACCACCTTAGGCTACAACAATGTACTTTATTATATAGGCCTATTATAAAACAAATTTCCCGTACCGATATATACGGGGATCACGTGGCTAAGTGGGTAAGACGCTGGCTCGCTAGCCTGGAGGTCGAGTGTACGATCCCTGCATTGGCCGAGAAAGTCCATCCAGATTTTCCGGCGTGGTTTCCCCGTGTCAGTGGTGCAGGACGGAGGGCCTGACAAGGACAGCTGTCTAGTCGTTCGGATGGGACGAAAAACCGAGGTCCCGTGTACATATTGGCGTGCACGTAAAAGATCCTTTGCAGTTGGAATTCGATATAAGAGTAGGCCGTAGCGACACTGTCCGGTCAAAATTTCCCTCATAGCACACTGTATGGCGTATGCCCGTCTTCATTAGCCCAGGTTAGAACCAGAACAGTAGGATGTTAAACCCCATTTCATTTACATTACATGTGTAGGTATACCATGGACCGTATATAGATGGACAGGCAACGAGTCTCGTTGGTTGGTTTCTCTGCCTCTCGCGCGAGACACAGTGAGATCTCAATGTCAATGGCAAATCAAGCGATGTGATTTTTGACATTGCAGGATTTTATACAGATTAATTTCTCGAACTCCTCTTTAGAATTTACGGTATTCTTATAGTTACATGGTAATTTTTCAACCCGATAAGTATTCCTATCCGGTAGTGACGAATTTCTCCAGTTTAGAAGTTTGAAATTTCCAAATGCAGCAGTTGAAAATTGTGAAATGATCGATTTCAATATTTTCGTAGTTTTTGTAAGCATTTTGGTTTTGCTTAATACTGTATAATACTGTCCAAAATGATGATTAATTGTGCAGAAGTAAAAATTAAAGAGTGTTTTAGTAGGTTTGTTTTTAACGAAAACTCAACATGTTTTTTTAGGATTCACATGGGCGCGTCCGAACTCCGAAGTCAACAACAACGATGTGTTCATACATTTACACCCCAATCATCAGTTAGTAGTCTATCTATGTATTGGTTGCAAAAGAAAAAATAGAATAGCAAGATTAATTAAAATATTATGAATTGATTTCTGTTTCTTTGCCTTTAAACTTAAAGACCACGTAAGATCAAAAATCTAAATTGCATGTATGTATAGCCCATGGTTACTATATCAACTTTACGGCAAGTTCACACCAATCTGATTAAAATTAAGTCCGCTGTTAACGTTTAAGTATCCGACACGCCAAAACGCTTTTCGATTTTTCAATTACGACCTTAATCCGGTTGATTAGCTGGTGACGTCACAGGCACTACACATAGGATATACATTATCTATACAATATCTCACCGTATGTACAATATAGCACTATCAATACACACGGCAACTGGGCAAGCGTCTATTGACGGTCCAATTACCACGTGACTGGCCTAATCATAATCGCCGAATTATCGTCTTTCATTGGTATAGATTAGACATTTGTGATTGGAATATTTTAGAGTGAATTTAAAATGTCGCATCATGCCGTAAAGCAATTTAAGCTGCCTTTGTTTAAATAGGCCACGTGTCAAATGAAGATGACTCAAGAAATTAGCGCATTTACCGGTAATTTGGATAACCCCGTAATGCTTGATATCCCAAACTTAAGTACAGAAATACAAATGGTGCCAGTCATTTGTCGATATATTTATTATTAGCTATATATAATAATAATAACCATTTCTAAACATAAAGAACAACTACAGTGAATATGGAATTTTCCGATGACTATGCATAACATGTATAATAGATCGCACTCATTTCTCTGCCAATCAACGTTTGGTATCTTATTATCATGTACCGTTCCATGTACTACGGGTGTAGTAAATGAGGTTAAACTTCGCCGCGAAAATTGCACGGGATCATTCGTGGAGTTCCTGGTGCCGTTTGGTGAGTGATTAAACTGTCAATGTTGTTGTTGTTGTTGTTATTGTCAATGTTGTTGTTGTTGTTGTTGTTGTTGTTTATTACAAATTTAACGTCCAATACATAATGCATGATATTATGGACAGGTTGATTTGATTAAGTTATTTACTTAAATAAAAAATAGAAGTTAGGTAAAAACACTAATTAATAAAAAGTTCTTGTATATCTAAACGTCACTTTAAAACAGATTTAAAATAATTAAAAGTTCTTGTATATCTAAAAATCACTTTAAAACACGGTTTTAAAAATGGCTTGAAAATCGTTGTCGTGGGAAGAGAGGGCGGGTCATCTTCTCACTTTGTCATAATGAAAGTTAAAATAGGAGATGCAATTGTAAAATACTTTTATTATAAAGAAGATAACCGATGTTACACATTATAACCTAATCGTATCAAAAACGTTTATCCATCCATCAATTAAATGTTGTTTAAACCCTAATCAACAAACAATATGAGGCTACTTGATTACAAAAACACCGGTGAGCAATAATTATTGGGTATATAGTAATTTTAAACAACTTATTAGTAAAACTTAATTTATTTTATACAATTAATGTGTGTGTGTATGATTCTACCATTAGTTCGTTCGTGAGGTATTACGCACACGTTCCACTCACAGTCATGTCTTTGATCTGGCCGGCGTAAAAAAAGATAATTACCTAATCAACATTCTTAATCCCACTAATACTCACTGCTAAGACCAACTTGAAATTAATTTATGACCCATGCCTGTATAACTTTTATAGTCGGATTGATTAATTAATGACAGATATTAACGACACTACACTTTATGTGGAAAAGCGAAGTGCTCGCAGTAAAAACCACATAACTGGACCCGTATATTTTTTACATATTAAAAGTGTTCGTCCTATAAGTTCCATATTGTAAAAAATTAATTAAGAGTTCAGGACTTCAAAGTTTAAAAGTTGTAGGCACTCTAAATTGGATCTTAAATTAAAATGAATTACAAAACAAATTATTCCGTATTCAATTGTTTTATTTAATTAGGGGGATTAAGGAATCCTTCAGGCGTTAAAGAATACACACGCCGGCTGTATATAGGTAATTAAGGAATAAATATTCCGAATATGCATTCGGTCACTGTGACGTCAGTGGCGTCTGGGGTCTTTAGCAGTGGGAGAAAACCGGAGGACCCGGAGAAAACCCACGGGGTTGAACAGGCGACCCTACTCCTTGTCACGTACAACCGGGGATTCGACCCCCCCCCCCCCAGTTGACTCAATGAAAGACCATATGATACAGAGTGCAGCAAACCTTGGATTTGATAATAATAGTCCGGTGACTCAATGGGGTAATAGAAGAATTTATAAGACCACGTTTTTATAGAGCAGTTTTTTTGTGTGTGTAGATTTCGATTCTGGGTGAAAGGCGGCGGGACGATTTACCCAATACTACCCAATACCACCCGAATAGCACTCCAATATCACCACATACAACCCAATACTACAACATAATGGTGCCTAATGAGCATATTACTTGATTTTTTTCAAAAATAGTGAGATATATCGTGGGAAATGTACTTCGAATGTGATTACCGATGTCTGGCTGTTCCATTTGCCTCCCTATATCACCCAACTCAAGCAAATAATAACCTAATACTACCAAATACTTATCAAATACTACTAAATACTACCCAATATTATAAAATACAAACCTAATATCGTCAATTAGCAGCACATCAGTGTAATAATTGCAACGAATATTCGATAATTTACAGAAAATTAAAATATTTTCGCAGTTATCTCCCTTTACAATCGGCAGGTAGATATTAGATTGCTACTCAGATTAATCATCTTGTTGAACTTTGCAGTTTGTTTCCAAGACAAAAAAGAGTTTTAAAAGAAGTTAACAAAGATTTAAAAAATGCATCAAAATAAAATCGGTTTATAAAATAAACAGCCAAACATCCGAATAAAATAATATTTTAGGGGTTGATTTAAAAATGTTCATTTAACGGTCTCGTGGCCTACTCAAAAGTCTTCTTCTACTATAATTATTTCTTCATCTTATAACACGCTGTCTACAAGTGCACGCGTTCCTGTAAAAACAAATTGGGTATAATATGTCAGGAAAGCACACGAAATTATTTTTATATCTGTCTTTTAATGACCTATTAACGCGCATTCTTTGTCTTTTAAATGATTCCGGTTCCAAACTAGTCGCCCTTGAAAAAGCCCCTCTTGTCAAAATTTCACCGATTCTTCGAATATCGTCACTATTGAACAAATTCTAATTATTCTACGGCATATATCCACAGGTGACGATGTCGCGGCCATGTCCATTACCACCTAAATGAATAGACACGGTCACCAGTTTCCTCCCACATATGCATATGTTTATATTTATTTTTTCATGTCAACGATTAAGTTATTGCATATATACTTAATGGACGATGTTTTATTTTAAA